TATTCACAATGCTTTAATATTTTGAGAGCATGGATAAAAATATTTTTTATTTTTATAAGGTTTTTGTGTTGTAAAATTTGTGTTTCCAGTTTTGTTTTGTACAGCTTTTTTTTTTTTGAGCTGTTTTTTTTTTTTTTTGGACTTTTTTTTTTTTTTTTTCGCCCTCTCGCACCGATTTTGGGGTACCCAGAGGATGTCATCCATAAAAATAAAAAAGTGTGGCCTTACCTATCATTTTAAATTAAAAAATAATTTTACTGCACATGAACAACTAAATTCACCTGAATACTGAAAAGTGTTTTAAATCTCCCTTCTTGTCCATATATATGGAACACCATTCTTGCAAAAGATCACTTGGGCACATATTTTATAAACCAACACACACATTCTCTTTGACCTTGTCTGTGGTATTTTAATATGTACATTCTATATTTCAACCCCACAGGTTTTTTTCAATGTTCCAAAAATAATTCATTCTGCAATTTTATATAGGAGTGCGTGCATGCATTCATGTATACGTGAGTGTGCTCACTTTTCTTGCAGTACTCTCAATGCTTACCTGTATCTGATTGACATAGTAATCTAAATCATCCAATATGAGCACTTGAGATACCACAGGGCTGGTGTGAAGTTCAGAAAGGTATTCAACAAGTTCATCTGTACTTGACATATACCTGATACGCAAAAAAATAATTTATGAAAAGTTTTCAAATAGAATTTCAAGGATAAAACTTTAAGGCTTTCTTAAAAACAAAATGAAAGTACATGTACCTGTATCTTTCTCAATTCTACACACATTTTACATATGGCATTATTGGTATGTTATAGGTAATACATGAAATATATCTAACAGATTAACATATCTCTGTTGTAATTACTGGGGCTATCAGCATAACACTCCAAGTCCCAAAAAGCTTAAATAACCATAAAACAGAACAAAAAAAATCCTCGTCTATTTATTTTCTCAAAAATTTCCAGCTGATATACATGTAGAATGAAAAACACTTGAACTGCCATGGTTACAATCCTTTATAACTATACCTACAGAAATTTGAGATTCTGCAGCACCTTTGCCTCAGGTGATGGCATACCATGTACTGGAGCTGGAAGACTGCTGAGGGGGGAGGGACATATATAGGTGACATGACATTCTTCAGAGGCGTGACTGACTGCTGCCTGGAACAACAGACATGTCTTCCCTCTGAAGTTCAAAAAAGTTGTAAGCTTCAGAATTTTAATATATAATTCAACCCTATCATTTCAAATTTTCAGAAAAATATAAACATTGTTGTTGTCTTTCACTTACGTTTTCTACAATCAGTACGCACCTGCACGTAGTTTCCTTTATTCATCTGTGCACGATGGTGAAAGGAAATGTATACTTTATAATAGCTTTTGCTTTCATTACGTTTGCTTATGCATCCTGAATCCATTAGAAAAAGTGATCAGTCAGAGAGTTTTAAAAATTACCAACTAGGCAAACAAACTGTCTATTACTAGCACAAAATCCATCTTTAGCACACCTATTGACGACTTTTGATATACATGTTCATGTACATGTACTGGTAGTAGTGCGCTGTGACTAGCAAACGTCCCTTCCAAATGTTGTTTTCGTGCACGAGATACTTACACATTGTGGTCTCCACTCAGCAATAATATATCTGTATTAATTGGTTCCACTTTTGAATGACACCATTTTAAATAATGCGAATCAAAAGGGAAAATATGCTTCATGGACATGGCGATCCCAGTGTGACTGATTGCACTCTACTACTAAGTACTAGTTGTAGACTGTTTGATTGGGAAATTCCCGCTATGTCCTCGGTTTCAACCAGTCTCCAGGCGGTGTACGTGCAATCGTCAGGGGCAGTCAGGGGCGGGTTTCAGATGGGGTTTGAGGCGAGTTGACCTTACGTCAAGGATGTTTATGAAACATCTCAGACTACGCGTTAAATAAGTGAGCCTCTGACTAAAATACGCTATAATTATTTTCAACTGTCAAATTCATCACCTAATATCAATAGGTGGTTGGTGCTCTTAATTTTGATGTTTTTTAAAGGTTCCTTCATCGTTAAAATTAAAGTAAAATTACCCACATCCCTTACAGTGGATTAGTTCAAGGGTAGCCATTAGGGGGGAATATATGGGTCACGTACATTTTTCAGCTGATAGTGAAGATCACTGCTTGTTGCTGTAAGGTAGGTTATTATTATTATTATTCAATGGAAACCTGTTCTCAAAATAATTTGAAATTGGGGACAGTTTACGTGCAGCTGTGAATCGTGGTGTTTTGACTTCTCAGTTGATTTTATTAGAAATTGCCGTCAACAGTGAGAGATGTATGTACATGTTTGTAGCAACGTAGCTCCACTGTGAACATAGTAGTAAATGGAGATGTGCATTTGTAACATCACGCTCGCTATTGACCTTGATCGGTTAATGGATCTTAAAATCCCATAAAGGTGACCTGAGAATACCTCACTTGTCTGCCATATTTACAAAAAAAAAAAAAAATTGGTTAAGTATTTTTAACACATAGAACGCCTGGAAGCACCAAAATGTGAGAAGCAGAAGCAGTTAGGGGTCCGACTCCAATGGGTTAGGGGGAGGGGTCGTGTGACCCTCGGTCAGGTCCAGGACGATCCTTTTTTTTTTTTTTCCATTATTGTAGACAAGTGTGGTATTCATAAGACATTAAATAGTCTCTAGATTCATTAATCAATCCGGATTACAGCCCAATTTATGATGTCTTAGTAATATATGCAAGTTTATTTGTAAACTCTAGTTAACTGGTCAATTTATATTGAAATCTAAGTGTACATGTTTGACAAAGTATGTTAGAATTGCTATAAACAAAAATTAAAAAACGTCTCATGCTCAATATGTATGCAGAGAGCGCTTTTCATTTTAATTCTGCTTCTCCATTTAAAAAAGTAGGTAACTGTGAAATAATGTAGGCAAATAAAACATGAACGTGCAGTGTGGCACGTCATTTTAGGTAATGTGCACTTGATAAGCTATATATATGATGATCTGACCAGTAAACCAAACTAAACCTTCCCTGATATAATATATTGCTCACATGATGACCATTTAAACCACACATTTACCCTGCAGCAACTTAATTTAAGAGATGATATAGGATGATGTGCAAAATTAGGTGAGACCCTGAAGATTGTGCACTTTTTAAAGATGCTATCTGATGGATTATGTCGTAGAAATACGATTTTACATAGTTGCTCAAATTGTCTCAGATTAATTATATTGTTAAGGATAGTCAGAAGTGGTCAGAAGGTTTCCCCTAGCAGAGGGAAGTTTTACCTAACACTTCTCAGACTGTGGCTTCAGATATATTAGCTCATGTTCTTTTACGTGATAAATGTTGTAATACCATTTTATTTTTGCCTAGTCTAGTAGAATATTGGTATCCAGGTTAGAATATTGTTCAGAATCACTTGTTTGTAGACTGTGGATTGTTGAATGTTAGTGCACATACATTTTATTGATTTGTGCATTTGGAGACAATATGGAAGGGCACGTAAAATGTGAGAATTGGGATTGACATGGCAAACTGTTTCCTTATGTATTGTACTCTACTTTTGCTCTCAGAAGAATTTACAAATTTGTATCAAGATTGGAATTCTTGGTTTGAGTAACTGCAGACATTAAGGGATGTGAGTTTGACTCCAAATCAAAATTTTGATAGCAGGAATTAAATTTACAGTCTCAGGAAATGCTTTCAATTATTGATCGGCAAATGGAGAAGAAATGAGAAAATGGTTTGACATAGATTGATGAGTATTTGATTTCCTGCTCAGATTCACTTATGTTTCTCGTAAGTTAGTGGTTAATAAAAAAAAATAATGAATTGCCCAGTGGTTTGATATATAAATGGTTTTCTTGAATAATATCATTTATCTTTGAAAATATGTTCTTTTTAACCATGCCTACGATACAAATAAAAAGATTCACACTTGAATAGTTCTGTATGGTAAATTTTCAGTATTCAAAAGTTAATACAATGAAAAAGTTAAAAAGCATCTCTTACAATGACAGGTTTTGTTTAAAAATGTAAAATTATTGATATATTTTTTCAGATAAAAATAAATGTTGAAAAGTTAATGCAAAACCAATATGATTCTATCCTTCTCATTTCATGTTCAAGACTATGCAGTACATTTCCTGTCTCATACTTTGGCACATGATCTTAAGAGTAATTTCAACACGGCTTGTCAGATTTTAAAGTAGAAAAATGTGAATTGGAAACAAGAATTACTACAGTGTACAGCATTTATTACAGTTGGTAATTCCTAAGTTGCCCATCATTTAGTTTACAGGTGTTTACTCTGTGGAGGTATGTAAATTACAGGATCTCTTTTACCAGGGTAGCACAGCATGATGCCTTACTGAATGAGTAAGGGATATATTTGTGTGACCTTCAGGTTTATAAAAAGAACGTGCTCACGAGAAGTATGTTGATGAGTTGAAATTAAAGGTAGGAAGCAGTTCTAGTCTTTGGTATAATTTCCTCTACAATGCATGTTATTTATTTGTAGGTTATAACATGATGGCTGTAAAGTGAAACCACTATTAAAACATTGCAGAAATGTTTTCCCTGGATTATGTAGAATGTGTAGTACATAGCTTGTCAGGCTACATCTCACCAATGTGAACATCTGTCAGTACTGGTGTATTGTTTTTTTTTTTTTTTTTTAATCATCACCTGTTTACAGGTACTCTATACAGGTTTTACCTGGCAAAGTGAATTTTCCCCTGGAAAACAGCAATTTTCTCCTACTCAAGGAGTCATTGCTCAATCTGCCCTGCATTTGAATTTGATATTTTATGGCATTTTTGATTAAATGATTTAGTTCTAAATGACCTCAGACATGGGGTACTGCCTGTCTTGCTGATCATGACCACTTGAAATGCCAGAGGACCTGTAAGTTTTTTTTTTATATCGCAGATCCTCTGGACTAGCCTGATCATATCTACCATGAATTCTGGATCCTTATATGACATGTCTGTTAGTTGGGTAGATCTGACATGTAAACATAAAGTAACAGAAGTTAAATACTTAGACCCCATTCCCATAGATTTTAGATCGATCTATCCCTATGGGGAGTCTCACCTGATTACTGTCAGCTTAGCCGGCTTAAGCGTCTGTCCCAGCTACTAAAAGCTGTAAGGGGGTAATTAACTATGGTGCAGCCTCGGCTGACTGCAATTAAGCATGAACCCCCAGGTAGTTAGGTCGATCTAAATCTAAATCTCTGGATCGATCTAAATCTCTGGGAATGCACCCTTAGTTTGGACCTCCACAGAATTGGGATGACCTGCAGATTTCTTGTTGTGCAGGTTTTCTGGACCTTCTGACTCTCGAAGGTTTTCCCCACCTCTGGGACTGCCCAGAGAATTAGAATGCTATGACTTCCTGTACATTACAGCATGACATCAAGTACTTTTATGTGTGGGGAGGGGGTGGGGGGTGCAGTTTTTACGGTCTGGATTAGTAGCTTTGCAGGGTATGTACATCAAGACACAAAAATTATTACTGTGAGACAGTAACAGATGCCTATAGTTTACCTTATATATTTGAAAATTTACAAGTAGTTAGGAAAAATGGCACCTGATAACTGTAGTTTAACAGAACTTACTTTTAAGTATTTAAAAATATTTTCTACAGTGTGATTTTGTGTATTAAAACGGGTTACGAGAGGTATATGGTATATAAAGCAGTGGCCGAAATATTGAAATATGGCTTCATTTACTTCCTGAATGCATAAGTGTTTTTCTGACATTTAAAATTTCCAGATAAAATCCTATTGATTCTTTCTAAAAGACATTTGCATATTCATATACTGCCTTATCAAGCTGACTTTTAAGTTTACAATGTTGTATAAACACTTTCTCCAAATTTAGGAATTAAAGAAGTACAAATTCATTCTTTTCAAAGGAAGATCAAAAATAGGCCTGTTTGACCACTGCAGATAACAGGTTAGCCTGTCAGTTTTGTTTCAACTGACATTCTGACCTGTAATGTCTTATTTCGAGCATTGTAAGCCTACTGTAGTATGCATTAAGCAACAGTCAGTTCTAACTTCCACACTCTACCAATATTTTGTATACATTTATAAAGAACAGAAAATCATTAAAGAAATTAGTGGTAAAAGATATCATTTCAAAAAAAAAAATGTCAAAAATGAAGAACAAATGGTTTGAAGAACTATTAATCCTCTTAGTGCATATCTTTGTATCTGTGTACTTGGTCAGTAGGGGTAATAGATAACTGTACAAAATTACAGTTTTACCCTCAAAATCCTTTTTTTTTTTTTTTTTTTTTTTTTTGAAGAATATGCCTTGATACACTTCACACAAGAAAAGAGGTTAAATGGTTAACAAGATAGTTTGAAAGGTTCAATGTTTCATTAAAACCTGTTTAGGTCATTGATATGGACCTCAGGTTGCCTCTTCTGCAGATTCTTAATAAGCCACAGCTAGTGGGCTAGCCAACAAGCCGCAGCTTGTTTTATGAAGAACCTTGATAATGTTTTACTAGGTGTTTTATTATAGCCTATATCCACTGGCTCTGTGTGTGTTCTCTGTGATTCTTGGAAACACACGTGTGTAGGCAGCTTTCTTTGATTTGTAGAAATGTACATTAGATAAATCTTGATCTGATTGTCCAACTAGCATGAATGTGTTTGAAGCACAGACATGAACCAAAACACAGATAAAGGTTTTTTTCTTCAGTGAAGCAAAGGTTTCAAATTAATCTATACAATTTAAGCTAACTGCTCAAATGAAATCAGAATGTCTTGAAATACTTTCTCACTACAACAATTTCCCTAAGTTTGAACAATATTGTGTTGCTTATTTTCAAAAAAAAAATCTTTCTAAGTAATATCAGAAAGAGATGATTGAAATGGTTTGATTAGTAAGTCGAGTTCTTGGCAGCATTGTCCATTTAATTTAGAATTTTCTTCATTTTTCAGGTTGGAATCTGCCAGAGGATTGATTTATATGGGACTTTGAAAAAATCCATTGGTGAAAATGGGCACATTTATGGGACATTTTATACCAGGTTCTTTCTTCTTTGGTTTTGGCTTGTGGTGGACCATCCAAATATGGATCAATTTTTTCCGTGCACAAGGCAAGAAGAACCAGCCATTCCGGTGCCGCGTGACATATCCATGTAACTGCTTCAGATTGAAGTGTTGCAGCTCCACCTGTTGGGAAGGATTATTGAAAGTGTTTCTAACAGGATTTGGGATCGTAGGGGAGACCATCACAGGGTTTGATGACAACTGGCATTTTGTTCACATGGGCAATGCACAGCATATTACAATGTTCTTCATGTTTGGTCTGACTGGTGTAGTGGATCTGATGCATTTTTACAAAGCCCCTATCCCAAAGAAATGTGACTATCTGTCTGTTGTACTGGCCCTGGTGGTGGAGTGCATCTTGTTTATGTTCCACTTACATGGAAGAACAATGCTGGACATTCACGTTCACACCTTGCTTATCTACACTTTATACCTTACAATTGCAGCAGTTCTGGCAGAGATGTACTTTGACAGACACATGTTGGCAGCATTTATTCGTTCATTTCTATTTTTGGCTCAAGGAACCTGGTTTGTACAGGCAGGCTTCATCTTGTACAACCCTCTTCCCGGAGCTTTGCCATGGAAAGAGGACAGTCCTCATGAAGTGATGCTGGTAACCTTGTTTTTCACGTGGCATTTAGGCTGCCTGTTCGTGATCATGCTCTGCATAGGAGGGGTAGTAAACTGCTGCTTGCGATATCGAGGAAGCAACTGTCGAAGGGATGATATGGCCATGCAAAGACTTCTAGATACAGACTCTAATGGACAAACCATGGTGAGGATGGATGCCTCAGACAGTGACATTGAATTCCAGTCAGTCCCAACTAGAATTGCAGATGATGATCTTTGAATACTGATGAAATCTTGAATAATGAAAAGCAGCATGTGATCAGTGACATATTTTAGAAGCGACATAACTATCAGTTAGAAAAGAGAATGAAGAGGAATTCAAGATTTTTTTTACATAAAAAAATAGGCACTGATATGATATTTTCCCCTTGCCCTTAGGCTTCGTTCACATGGAAAATCTATTTTATAAAAATCTATTTTCTATTCGCAGTATCTTGTGATCACGGTCTGTGCCCTGAATACCCCGCAGCGTAATTACTGGCAGCGCGAGCCAGTTACTTCCAAAGCTGTAATTAATTCTCGGCTGAGCTCGGGGNCGCCTCTCTGATCCTCTAGTTTCAACACGGCTTGTCAGATTTTAAAGTAGAAAAATGTGAATTGGAAACAAGAATTACTACAGTGTACAGCATTTATTACAGTTGGTAATTCCTAAGTTGCCCATCATTTAGTTTACAGGTGTTTACTCTGTGGAGGTATGTAAATTACAGGATCTCTTTTACCAGGGTAGCACAGCATGATGCCTTACTGAATGAGTAAGGGATATATTTGTGTGACCTTCAGGTTTATAAAAAGAACGTGCTCACGAGAAGTATGTTGATGAGTTGAAATTAAAGGTAGGAAGCAGTTCTAGTCTTTGGTATAATTTCCTCTACAATGCATGTTATTTATTTGTAGGTTATAACATGATGGCTGTAAAGTGAAACCACTATTAAAACATTGCAGAAATGTTTTCCCTGGATTATGTAGAATGTGTAGTACATAGCTTGTCAGGCTACATCTCACCAATGTGAACATCTGTCAGTACTGGTCACCCGGTGTATTGTTTTTTTTTGTTTTTTTTAATCATCACCTGTTTACAGGTACTCTATACAGGTTTTACCTGGCAAAGTGAATTTTCCCCTGGAAAACAGCAATTTTCTCCTACTCAAGGAATCATTGCTCAATCTGCCCTGCATTTGAATTTGATATTTTATGGCATTTTTGATTAAATGATTTAGTTCTAAATGACCTCAGACATGGGGTACTGCCTGTCTTGCTGATCATGACCACTTGAAATGCCAGAGGACCTGTAAGTTTTTTTTTTTTATCGCAGATCCTCTGGACTAGCCTGATCATATCTACCATGAATTCTGGATCCTTATATGACATGTCTGTTAGTTGGGTAGATCTGACATGTAAACATAAAGTAACAGAAGTTAAATACTTAGACCCCATTCCCATAGATTTTAGATCGATCTATCCCTATGGGGAGTCTCACCAGATTACTGTCAGCTTAGCCGGCTTAAGCGTCTGTCCCAGCTACTAAAAGCTGTAAGGGGGTAATTAACTATGGTGCGGGCTCGGCTGACTGCAATTAAGCATGAACCCCCAGGTAGTTAGGTCGATCTAAATCTAAATCTCTGGATCGATCTAAATCTCTGGGAATGCACCCTTAGTTTGGACCTGCACAGAATTGGGATGACCTGCAGATTTTTTGTTGTGCAGGTTTTCTGGACCTTCTGACTCTCGAAGGTTTTCCCCACCTCTGGGACTGCCCAGAGAATTAGAATGCTATGACTTCCTGTACATTACAGCATGACATCAAGTACTTTTATGTGTGGGGAGGGGGTGGGGGGTGCAGTTTTTACGGTCTGGATTAGTAGCTTTGCAGGGTATGTACATAAAGACACAAAAATTATTACTGTGAGACAGTAACAGATGCCTATAGTTTACCTTATATATTTGAAAATTTACAAGTAGTTAGGAAAAATGGCACCTGATAACTGTAGTTTAACAGAACTTACTTTTAAAGGGATAATAACTCTTCGTTTCGGCCAAAAAATGAATTTTCCTGGAGTAAACAACAATTTTCCCATACTTACCAATGGTTAATGAATCCATTTTTATATTCAAAGTTAGTCCCTGGTTTTTTTCTCAATAGTTTGGTTTTTTGTTAAAATCTCTTAAGAGATTATAGCAGAGTATAGCCATCAATGGAGGTCACGTGGTCTAAAGACAAGCTCAGATATCAGAATAATAGCTATAACTGCTGTTTTTGTGGTAAAACAGTATATATTATTCTTCCGTGAGTTATTCACAATGTTTTTATTGTGAAATAAAGATCTCATACGAAGAGTTATTATCCCTTTAAGTATTTAAAAATATTTTTTACAGTGTGATTTTGTGTATTAAAACGGGTTTCGAGAGGTATATGGTATATAAAGCAGTGGTCGAAATATTGAAATATGGCTTCATTTACTTCCTGAATGCATTAGTGTTTTTCTGACATTTAAAATTTCCAGATAAAATCCTATTGATTCTTTCTAAAAGACATTTGCATATTCATATACTGCCTTATCAAGCTGACTTTTAAGGTTACAATGTTGTATAAACACTTTCTCCAAATTTAGGAATTAAAGAAGTACAAATTCATTCTTTTCAAAGGAAGATCAAAAATAGGCCTGTTTGACCACTGCAGATAACAGGTTAGCCTGTCAGTTTTGTTTCAACTGACATTCTGACCTGTAATGTCTTATTTCGAGCATTGTAAGCCTACTGTAGTATGCATTAAGCAACAGTCAGTTCTAACTTCCACACTCTACCAATATTTTGTATACATTTATAAAGAACAGAAAATCATTAAAGAAATTAGTGGTAAAAGATATCATTTCAAAAAAAAAAAAATGTAAAAAATGAAGAACAAATGGTTTGAAGAACTATTAATCCTCTTATTGCATATCTTTGTATCTGTGTACTTGGTCAGTAGGGGTAATAGATAACTGTACAAAATTACAGTTTTACCCTCAAAATTTTTTTTTTGAAGAATATGCCTTGATACACTTCACACAAGAAAAGAGGTTAAATGGTTAACAAGATGGTTTGAAAGGTTCAATGTTTCATTAAAACCTGTTTAGGTCATTGATATGGACCTCAGGTTGCCTCTTCTGCAGATTCTTAATAAGCCACAGCTAGTGGGCTAGCCAACAAGCCACAGCTAGTTTTATGAAGAACCTTGATAATGTTTTACTAGGTGTTTTATTATAGCGTACATCCACTGGCTCTGTGTGTGTTCTCTGTGATTCCTGGAAACACACTTGTGTAGGCAGCTTTCTTTAATTTGTAGAAATGTACATTAGATAAATCTTGATCTGATTGTCCAACTAGCATGAATGTGTTTGAAGCACAGACATGAACCAAAACACAGATAAAGGTTTTTTCTTCAGTGAAGCAAAGGTTTCAAATTAATCTATACAATTTAAGCCAACTGCTCAAATGAAATCAGAATGTCTTGAAATACTTTCTCACTACAACAATTTCCCTAAGTTTGAACAATATTGTGTTGCTTATTTTCAAAAAAAATCTTTCTAAGTAATATCAGAAAGAGATGATTGAAATGGTTTGATTAGTAAGTAGAGTTCTTGGCAGCTGTACTAGAAGGTGTTTGTTAACAACTAGAAATAATAAATTTGGGGTGTGGACTAAGTAATTACTATAGTTTTCTTGATGGAAAGCCTGTGTTTATGCCCAAAACTGGGCAATCTTTTACTTATGCTCATTAATTGTTCATTTAATTTAGAATTTTCTTCATTTTTCAGGTTGGAATCTGCCAGAGGATTGATTTATATGGGACTTTGAAAAAATCCATTGGTGAAAATGGGCACATTTATGGGACATTTTATACCAGGTTCTTTCTTCTTTGGTTTTGGCTTGTGGTGGACCATCCAAATATGGATCAATTTTTTCCGTGCACAAGGCAAGAAGAACCAGCCATTCCGGTGCCGCGTGACATATCCATGTAACTGCTTCAGATTGAAGTGTTGCAGCTCCACCTGTTGGGAAGGATTGTTGAAAGTGTTTCTAACAGGATTTGGGATCGTAGGGGAGACCATCACAGGGTTTGATGACAACTGGCATTTTGTTCACATGGGCAATGCACAGCATATTACAATGTTCTTCATGTTTGGTCTGACTGGTGTAGTGGATCTGATGCATTTTTACAAAGCCCCTATCCCAAAGAAATGTGACTATCTGTCTGTTGTACTGGCCCTGGTTGTGGAGTGCATCTTGTTTATGTTCCACTTACATGGAAGAACAATGCTGGACATTCACGTTCACACCTTGCTTATCTACACTTTATACTTTACAATTGCAGCAGTTCTGGCAGAGATGTACTTTGACAGACACATGTTGGCAGCATTTATTCGTTCATTTCTATTTTTGGCTCAAGGAACCTGGTTTGTACAGGCAGGCTTCATCTTGTACAACCCTCTTCCCGGAGCTTTGCCATGGAAAGAGGACAGTCCTCATGAAGTGATGCTGGTAACCTTGTTTTTCACGTGGCATTTAGGCTGCCTGTTCGTGATCATGCTCTGCATAGGAGGGGTAGTAAACTGCTGCTTGCGATATCGAGGAAGCAACTGTCGAAGGGATGATATGGCCATGCAAAGACTTCTAGATACAGACTCTAATGGACAAACCATGGTGAGGATGGATGCCTCAGACAGTGACATTGAATTCCAGTCAGTCCCAACTAGAATTGCAGATGATGATCTTTGAATATTGATGAAATCTTGAATAATGAAAAGCAGCATGTGATCAGTGACATATTTTAGAAGCGACATAACTATCAGTTAGAAAAGAGAATGAAGAGGAATTCAAGATTTTTTTTACATAAAAAAATAGGCACTGATATGATATTTTCCCCTTGCCCTTAGGCTTCGTTCACATGGAAAATCTATTTTATAAAAATCTATTTTCTATTCGCGGTATCTTGTGATCACGGTCTGTGCCCTGAATACCCCGCAGCGTAATTACTGGCAGCGCGAGCCAGTTACTTCCAAAGCTGTAATTAATTCTCGGCTGAGCTCGGGATGATCACAAGATACCGCAAATAGAAAATAGATTTTTAGAAAATAGATTTTTCATGTGAACGGAGTCTTAAACCTCATCCTGTCCCATGTATTCTCAAAAATAACAGTTTAGTGTAAAAGAGTAGGTAGTTCTTGTTATTCAAAGTGTATTAAGTGTCAGTAGTCATTTAACTTAAATGTCATGTTATTTACGCATATATGTATCTCTAACAGGACAACATGCAATACAATAGCCAAAGTGCATCAATGCAGGTTAATTATTATCTCAGAACATCCTATCTACAGGTGGTAATATACATTACAGTGCTGAAAGCTGGTGAGAGTTCACTTATTCCAGCCCCTTTGATTATTCCAGAATCCTTCATGGGAATCACTCTTTATTTATTGTTCTTAGATCATTATGGGATATTGGCAGGGTAGTGAACATGAAGTTTTGTAGCGTTGTGTGTTGGTTTTATGAAGCAAGGTTTAAGGCAAAGCTTTAGACATTGCAACCATGTAGATGTACTTTAATGTCATTGTTGCCAAAGATACTTTATTCTCTTTATGTAATGGGAAAAAATCTAAAGTAGATCTGTGAAATGTAATGAAGGATGTTTCTGAATGCTTTATTTATTTATTGTTAGTTCATTGTTAGATTTGTTAATTGTTGATGCTGTACTAATCTTGAGAAAGACTTGTAAGAAAGACTAAAATGCGATAGTGAGAAAATGGATTAGGATGAACATTTTCCAACTGTCAATCAGATCATTATTTGTTATTTATGTATCAGAAGAATCTAGCTATGTGCACAGTATCAAAAGTTAGCTTTTAAACATTGGCTCTGAAGTAGCCAGTATATTTAATAGAGTTTATTTTTTAATTGGGTATAAATGATCCGCATACATGAGCTCTTTGAATACCGTGTGTGTATACGTGCGTGCACACACACACACCAATGCTGTTGGAAAATGTTTATGTAGGCATTTTTCCATAAGGGCTGAGGACTGTTCTGATTTTAAAAAAAATCTCCACTGAGAAAGAAATTTTAGCTTGGGCTCTCAGATTCTTTTTGATAACCTTTCTTTGATCTGTGAAGTGAAAGAGTCAAGGAAATTAGTGTGATCAATGATTATAAGCTTGTAATTATGGATACCAGGTAATGCTTTAGGACCACTTGAATTCCCTTCAAAAGAATTAAATGTGGATGAAGACCCTTCGGCTTGGATTAGTAGTTTAAGGATAATGATTTTTTCGTATTTTTTTTTTCTTACAGTTCTATGTAAGGATTTAAACAGCCTCTTCAGAGACCAGNGAAAATCTATTTTATAAAAATCTATTTTCTATTCGCAGTATCTTGTGATCACGGTCTGTGCCCTGAATACCCCGCAGCGTAATTACTGGCAGCGCGAGCCAGTTACTTCCAAAGCTGTAATTAATTCTCGGCTGAGCTCGGGGTGATCACAAGATACCGCAAATAGAAAATAGATTCTTAGAAAATAGATTTTTCATGTGAACGGAGTCTTAAACCTCATCCTGTCCCATGTATTCTCAAAAATAACAGTTTAGTGTAAAAGAGTAGGTAGTTCTTGTTATTCATAGTGTATTAAGTGTCAGTAGTCATTTAACTTAAATGTCATGTTATTTACGCATATATGTATCTCTAACAGGACAACATGCAATACAATAGCCAAAGTGCATCAATGCAGGTTAATTATTATCTCAGAACATCCTATCTACAGGTGGTAATATACATTACAGTGCTCAAAGCTGGTGAGAGTTCACTTATTCCAGCCCCTTTGATTATTCCAGAATCCTTCATGGGAATCACTCTTTATTTATTGTTCTTAGATCATTATGGGATATTGGCAGGGTAGTGAACATGAAGTTTTGTAGCGTTGTGTGTTGGTTTTATGAAGCAAGGTTTAAGGCAAAGCTTTAGACATTGCAACCATGTAGATGTACTTTAATGTCATTGTTGCCAAAGATACTTTATTCTCTTTATGTAATGGGAAAAAATCTAAAGTAGATCTGTGAAATGTAATGAAGGATGTTTCTGAATGCTTTATTTATTTATTGTTAGTTCATTGTTAGATTTGTTAATTGTTGATGCTGTACTAATCTTGAGAAAGACTTGTAAGAAAGACTAAAATGCGATAGTGAGAAAATGGATTAGGATGAACATTTTCCAACTATCAATCAGATCATTATTTGTTATTTATGTATCAGAAGAATCTAGCTATGTGCACAGTATCAAAAGTTAGCTTTTAAACATTGGCTCTGAAGTAGCCAGTATATTTAATAGAGTTTATTTTTTAATTGGGTATAAATGATCCGCATACATGAGCTCTTTGAATACCGTGTGTGTATACGTGCGTGCACACACACACACCAATGCTGTTGGAAAATGTTTATGTAGGCATTTTTCCATAAGGGCTGAGGACTGTTCTGATTTTTAAAAAAATCTCCACTGAGAAAGAAATTTTAGCTTGGGCTCTCAGATTCTTTTTGATAACCTTTCTTTGATCTGTGAAGTGAAAGAGTCAAGGAAATAAGTGTGATCAATGATTATAAGCTTGTAATTATGGATACCAGGTAATGCTTTAGGACCACTTGAATTCCCTTCAAAAGAATTAAATGTGGATGAAGACCCTTCGGCTTGGATTAGTAGTTTAAGGATAATGATTTTTTCGTATTTTTTTTTCTTACAGTTCTATGTAAGGACTTAAACAGCCTCTTCAGAGACCAGAAAAAATTTTCAGTAGTGGCGTATTCCACTTGAGTATGTATTTGCCATGTTTCTTGTTACATCCCAAATCTTTTTCATCATATTAAGAAGTAAATTACAGTTGTCAATAGCAGCACCCAAAACAATATATAAGTGCTCTACCATCTTCATTTTGATGTCATGACTATTTTTTTTACGGAATTGGAAGATGATTAACCATTTTACAAAGCTAGTTGTACATGGAACCCACTTTTTTCATTGGGTAAGATACTATTTCCCCTGCAGAAGTCCTGGTGTTTTAGAATTCGATATTTCCTGCTTGAATCTAAGTATAGATTTATCAGTTTTTATGGTTTTCCTCTGAACTTTCATGCTATGCCATTTGGCAGTGTTTCAGTGTGGCACATGTGTATGTGTTTAAAGTCTGCACGCTATCCTTAAGTGAAGAGCAGAACACTTCAAATTCTCATGCTTTTAGCACCAAATTACCCCATGCTGTGTAGGTTTAGTTCTACACCTGGGAGCTTTTAGAAGTAAACAAACCCAAAAATGTATTTTTATTCCAGATTGACTGTGGGTTGCATTATGATGGTAAGAAGAGTACATAATTATTTTCTTTTAATTAAATGATTTTTTATTATTTATTTTAAATTTTTGAAATGAATTATAGTTTTCTTTTAGGGTTTCCTAGCCTTTTAGTTTTCTTTTGATCTGTCATTTTATGAAGATACAAAGCCAAAGGAATTGACCTAAAGTACATAGAATATATGTAGATGTGATAATCATTTATATCAAGTACAGTGAAAACAGTCTTGTGTGATCATAAAAATTCTCAGGTTTATTACTATAAAAATTAGATGATGAAAAATAAACGTAATCAGTCTGTAGTCTACAAGAAATAAAATGATAATAATACCAGAATTCATAAAATGTTAAATGCTTGTATTAAAAAAGTATAAATAATGCATGGAAGTTAAGAGGCTAGACCAATTATGTATCATGGAATCACTTTATATAATATGTGCACCTTGGATGTTACTGGGACCACAAAGTTCATCAATAAGTTGTTTTATTTTTAAAAAAAAACTTTGCTCTCATTAATGACATCTTTGGAAACAAAAAGATAAATGAAATAGAAAAATCTGTAGTTTAGGCCATGTGTTGTGGCCTGAATAAATCGGGTAGGATAAACTCAGACCACAATTCCAGTCAAGTTGAAACAGCATAACTTAGCACTTACTACATCAGTGCAATTTCAAACTGGCAACCATAAATATGATTCAAGTAAGAAATGCCATTGAAGATGTGGCTTACATCTTACTCCCTTTAACTTTTGTGAGAACCAAATGTCTTATCTCGATAAGATTATCTGTTTATACACTGTGTACATTGTCACTATGGCTTCAAAGGTTCCCTGTACCACCCAGCCTCACTTTAATATTGATTACACTGTATTCAGAATGAACAAGGTAGATATTCTTGGCTTATCTATTTGATGGACTTTTAAGATCAATAGGTAAAACCAAATGATTTTGGGGTCATGTTCCAAGAGTGGCATTTTTTTCTTTTTAAATGACAAGTGAATTTCTTTTTTTTTTTTAGTTATGTCTTTCAAAGAAAATTAATTCTTTTGTATTGATATTGAATATCATTGTATAATTGACCCACATAACCACTTTATCAACCTTGTATTATATAACTTACAGGATATATTTATAAGGGTGAACAGTTTATTTAATCAGAGAAGGATTTTTTTATTTAAAAATTATCTGTTTGGGGGGGAGGGGAACAGTGGTGTATTTTGTAAAAGTTTAAGTAATTGAGTATTTCATTTCTGTTGCATATAGCAATTAGTTTTATAAGGTTATTTGTGGAATAGTATCATTCTATTGTTTTACATGGATCATATCTGAGATATGTGTTATACATAATTAACTGTTGTGTAAACATTAAAAGATTCTTATCATAGTGATTTTTAAAAGTTCTGCAGAAAGTTGACTGATGCTGTGGCTATGCCATTGTATAAAGACCATATTTTGTTTTTATTTACATTCACAGTATTGTCTGAACATACTGGCATCCCATTGTCTTAAGTTTGATTGTATTTGCCTACTTGACACCCGTCATACATATTAACTATAGATATGAGAGAGAGAAAAGCTTCTTGAATTATCTGGGATACCTAAGTGAAGGTCAGGTTTAAAGCTGGATGACCTGGTTATTTTTAATTTGTTTATTGAAATGGTGAATTTGAGTCAGTATCTGCAAGGGTTTTATGTAGGCCTAAAATGCAGGTAAAATTTAAGACTACTCAAGATTCTATTTTCCTAACATTTTGACGTTAATATTTTTCTGTAATTTTGGTCTTGTTTTTATAGTACAACTCTTTATCAAAGCTTAAAGATAGATGTCTATCTTCCCTCAAACGTTTTGGTATCATACCATGGCTTAATGCGCCATATCATACCATGACTACATGTGCAATAATTCAAACTAGCACTTTTTTTTCTTATTTTAACTAAGAAAGGTTGTCATTTCCCAGCTTTAGCTGGCTTGTCTTCCTTTGTTGAATGTTTTCTTTGCTGTTTGCCGTATCAGTTGCAATTGCTGTCAGTTTTTCGGAATGTTAAAGCACTAAAATATGGCAGTACAACCCAGTTTTATTCAGTATTATTCTCCATACTAATTGTATGTTTACCATATGCCAGATTACTGAAAAGAAAACAAATACTGTTTAGAAAAGAGTTGCCCTTGATACTCTGAAACTGGGGACAAAAGCAGTTAGCTGCTGATGTACTGTATCAGTGGCTCTTTTTCTGGTTAGTTTCTGTCTGATTTAAAAGATTGGAAAGAAAAGGAGGTGCTCAAAATTAAGTCAGAATGGGGTAAAAGAACAGGAGGTGCTCAAAATTAAGCCAGTATGGGGTTGAAGTGTGAATTTTTTATTTTTTGTTTTATTTTTTTATTATTATTCAGCTGTTTTAATGGCACATGAATTTTTGCAGTGGTTTATTCATGAAGGATAAGTATATTGTGTTTTATGGTAAGTGCCATGCACACACAAGTGAAATAGCGCTAGCCCGTTCTTTTGTCAGGTTATTACATTTTATGTAAAACCTGCTTCCATGACTTAAAGTTGTTTGTGAAATATTGCAGTATACCATTATCCATATACGAGGGTTGATTGATAATTAGTGAGCCTTGTGTGGAAGGGGTTAAGCAGGGATATCCCTTTTCAGCCCTGACTATTCAAACTGACTATTTAAAGGTGTGTAGCCAAAGTTTGGTGTCATTTGGTTAATTTATGTCGACGAGGCAGCAGAAAGCTTAGGAAAGGTGTACTGTTCCTCCAGGACAATGCCCCTGCTCACAAGTCTGTCATTGCCGTGGCTGCAATCAACAAGTGTGGCTTTGAACTGATAGAACACTCACCTTATTCGCCTGATCTTGCTCCCTCTGACTATTAGCTATTTCCCAAATTGAAAAAGGCCATTTCAGGCACTCACTTTGTGTCAGATGATGACGTCATACGTGAAGTGGAGGGGTTTCTGAACTGCCAAGAGAAGGGCTTCTATAAAAGTGGCATAGAGACTCTCAAAAACTTGCTGACAAAAGTGTATAGATACTCAAGGAGACTATGTTGAAAAATAAAGAAATATACTTTTAAAATGTGTACCCCTTCTATATGAGGCTCACTACTTATCAATCAACCCTCGTACATATTATGCTTAAGACACGTATGATAAAAGTGTGACCTTTTAGTTATCTGTAGTAGACCGTAGTTGTGTTGTACTGTATAAGACAACATGCTTTAATTGTATTTTGATCTGAAATGAACCACGGGTGAAAATGTTGATATCTAGTCTAAGTGTCATTAAATTAACATCTGGCAATTAAAATTTTGAATAAATTGTTGAATGTCAATGTTAGTTAGTTTGTCTTTTTAATGATGATTTTGTTTGTAAAAACTATATGCACAATGGTTTAATTGTAAGCAAATCTTAATATTTTTCATTATTGAAAAACCACAAAAAAAAATTATAATTTGGTCAAAATACTGCACTATGCCATTTTTAACTAAAAGAAGAGGCATCGATGAGAATAAAATTGTAGTCAAAGTGACTCCTACTTTGGAGTCCAGCAGTGGTGCCTAAAATAACTCCCAAATGAAGTCAAGTTGACTCCGATGGAGCAACACCACCCCAAACCCCACAGGAGGGTCACTCCATTCACACATCCCTTCATCCCCTTGATTATGAATAAAAACAACAAGAACAAAGCCAAGGGGGGGGGGGGGGGGGAGAGATAGGACTGCTATTTCTCCGGGTGGGCTCGAATCCACGTCCTTCCGCTCAGGAGTCAAATACTCTAACCACTAGGCCGTCCGGTCACATATGGTGTTGAAGCAGCAATAACAAACAACTTGTAAATCTGGTAATAAACAGCATAACACACACACACATATATATACCACAAATATACCAATGAGTGAGCATACCTAACCAGTGACATGCATTGGTGGGTCAAACCTACAACCTGGAAACAAAACCTGCTGGCCTGTATACCAACATATTACATAAAGGGCGTGGCAACTGAAAGCCCGGGCTGGTAATAAGTGCACGAGTTCTGCATGCAGAAACACACAGAAAACCACTTGTTCATGCATAAAACCACTATGGCCAATGAAGTAATGTTTATAATGACCAAGGATGATGAAAACTGTTCTCTCCAGGCCGTCTGCTCACTGCCATCACAAGTAATGAAACGAGGCTTGACTCCATGAGAGCCAGAGGGTAGTTGACTCTGATAAGAGAGTCTAAAGCTCTGGTAGTGGGGCAATTTGACCCTTATATAGGACTCAAATTAACTCCATGAGGGTCAAGGGGTGCTGGACTCTGACTGGAGAGTCAAATGACTCAAATTTTATTCTCAGTGATGTCATGAAAGAGACGACGCATCTTGGAGCCACATAAAAATCCCTTCTATGAAAAAATTGAAGAAAGTTATTGTTTTATGTTTTGCATTGACATGTCTATTGAAATTGTAGTTTAATCCCAAAATCATTCTTGAAAGTTTGAAAAAAAAATGACAGTTTCTTTTTCTTGTGTTTAAGATAAAAGTGAGAAAAAGTTCATTTCACTTGTAAATTATCACACTAGGCTTAAGAGCATAGTTATCACCAATTTAAATGTGTACTACCGTTATAGTGGACATTCAAAAAATGTAACTTGAACAGGACTGCAAATCAAAATCATGCCTTGAAAATGGCAACGTGTAAAAGTGAAAAATTTACAAGAAAAAAATTCGTAACATAAAGAAAAATGACGCAATCGGGTTGGTTTTCGAACTCGAGCTGCATTTTAGTCCTAATAGTACCTGATAAGTTTGAGAATGATAAAGAAGACTTTTTTGTGGTAATAGCATCAAGTAAACTGCACGGTATGTCAAACGGCGAAGACAGACGCCGGTGGTGGCTTTTTGTCCAGCTATATGTCTGTCCATAAAAATAGAATATAAATAACTTAACGGTTCGTAGAGCAAGGTTTAAGCACCATTATTCACACTCTTATCAAGCAACAAATTGGAATCTTACTACAAGAAATTTGATTATGCGATGCGACCTGCTCTAACCAGGGAATTATATCGGATCCGATATAATTCCCTGCTCTAACCGACTGTCAGTCTGTCGGCTTTTACCTCTAATCGTCAAACTGAATGCCCCAGGTAGACTGCAGTTCTTAGAAACTAAAATATTAAATTAATGAGTCTTAGTCTTAAGACGCGATGCATGCCCTTCGTTCTTAAATGAAACTTCAGCGTCTATGGGCACAGATACATTGTACATGTTTACGAAAATCAATTCATGGGGAAAATCCACGACAATTGCCTGTGTGTATATCGTTAAGATTGTACTTTGCACATTGAAGACGACATCTACAAGATCAATTCACGAATGCAACTTTGTTATGCAACGCTTATTCAAGGCAGTGTTGACATGAAGATGGGTGACAACATAATCATAATAAGGCTTCAAATTTAAAATAAATTAGTTCATTAAAAGATCGGATAGACTTGCTGTGACTATATTGTATCAGAACTCATTTGTTTTAGACTTAAAGGCAAACCATTTTGAGGACTCTATCAAAGCCCCAGAAAAGAAGGTAAAGAAGCACAGACTACTCAGCTACGGAAACACACTCGGGTAGATATTTTCCCTTCTTTTCCAAAGTGATGTTTACGGTGACTTGCACGTTATTTGTGACTCAAATGTCACATACCATCTTACTAGTAAGTCTTTTTACATAGATATCTAGGCTCGTTTTGTTGGTGCAGTGACATATTTACTAAGACAAGTACTGATTTAAAACGGTACCATCATGATGCTATGTTAACAAGAGCAGTTCAAACAATGCATTTTACGTCTGTATACACACGCTTATACAGATATATATCCATATTCATGAAAAAAAAAACAGTTTTAAAACGATAGGTTATGGGAAAGGATCTACCATTCAGTTTTTCATGGGTATCGTTACGTCCTGTACATGTATAAGAGCTTTATAGCAGTCGTGTCAGAAAATAAGGAAAGGGCGATGAATTGCTCCCTTTACTTACTTTAAGTTTTGAAAAGAAATAACAGGTATTATCGGTGCTACCTTATGTGCGGCGATTATATAAGCTATTTCAATCAAGAGATATGTTGCCTCCAGCTTCTTTTAAATATCTTTTAAAAAATTGAATATTTGTTAAACCTAATTTTTATCAAGCAATATGTTGCAAACTTCGGAGGGGGGGGAGTAAAGTTGCCTTTATTGAGGCTGACGTGATCTTCAGACAGTCCAAGCAGCAGGTAGACCAATATAGTAATTTTCGAGTCCTCCCTCCCCCCCCCCCCTCATCCCCGATCTTGTTAGTGAACAAATTTCGTTTGCAAACAAAATGCAGAGACATAATTAAAATACGCCACCTATCATTTTATTATATTTGTTTTTCAAAAATAATTCGTAAAATATTGTTTTTCGATCAAACCTTTGTCAATATGAACATAAATCAGAGCAACGCTAGTCGCTTTTGGGTATTAAATCTGGGTTAAATCGAAGCACTCGCCTTTTATTTGCTTTATATTTACCTGTAACTGACAGGTTGTGTCCTTATCAAAGATGGTTTGCGTCCTTTTGTGTGTTTTCTTTTATAGTAAACACTTCTGTGTTTGGATGTTGAATTACAGTCTATTTTTCCAATTTTAGATTAAGAATACATGGTTGATCAAATTCAATTTATTTTAGATTCCATCGTTTCCAGTTAATACAAGAATGGTTTGTTATACTTTGCTCATGTTTTCTCCTGTCTTGCGTTTTAGAAAAGGAATTCGATAAAACAGAGACGATAATAGTACCATTACAAACTGCAAACGTTACCACAAATAAACTGAGAGACAGTGTCTTAAACACGTACATGTGGAGCAAGTTCATCTCGTTAAGCGGGAAAATGATCCATTCCTTCACCCGCCCCGCTTCTCGACAGAAAGCAACACTTCCACACTGTTCAAAGTGGAATAAAAGCAACAAAGACATGGATAAACAATTTTCTAGCGAAGCAGAAAAATACCAGAGTATCATCCAAGACAACAAATCTTTGTTGGTAAAAAATATCATCCTGACTCCTGAATTCTTCGAGGTCATGGTCCGACACAAGATGATAACGAATTCCATGGTGGGCGACATAAAGGTGATACAGGTGTTGGGTCAAAAATATCATGTAGCAATGTGTGGCGTGACTTGCACGGTCCGTCGTCATGCTGTCGCATTCTTAGCCTTATAAAAGAGTAAATGTTATGAGAGGCGATGTTTTTAAATTTAAAATGAAATCAATATATATATATATATATATATATATATATATATATATATATATTTGTAGAGGCACAGAAGGTATGATTTTACTAAACAAAAACGTACAGTGTATGTGATCGAGGCACGACCGCACAGCCAGCATCCTTTTCTTTTATAGTTTTTTCGTGTATTTAAAAACTGCCGTCATCTAATTATACTTAATCCTGTGACTGATGGACATACATATATAACCATAGACGTGTGTTTTCAATTTTTGCAGAGCAAAGAAACTCGTGAAAAACAAAACGCTCGTTTCCTGGAAGTGTACCCACTGAGAACGGCACACATGTATACCACGTTATGCGACACGCTACAAATGACAGGCCACGCGCTGTTGGCAGATCACCTGAGAGACGAGGCTGCAGGTATCACAAAACCTTGCTTATCATTGATGTAAAAACGGCCGTCAAACTTAATTAACCTGAAATTGATTCTTAACACGTTAGAAATTGCACCACACTAAAATCATGAAATAATGAATTCCTCAGGCTGACAGTACGTAACCATGCTTCATAAAAACAATGTTTGCCCAAAATTTGAAATACAAAACTAATTAAAAGGAAAGAAAATTGCATTATGTTATAACGATTCTTAAAATCCATCATGACGAATATTATGTCGCAACGACCACCCAGTAAAAAAAAGGGGTCTATATAGGCATCGTTAGCCTATAATAGTAGTATGGTCGATCATCTGGGCGTAATAGGCGGCAAATGCATCCACACAGACTGGCTTTTATTCATGGTTGTTCGATCATTATTGATCACAGGTCCTAGTCAGTGCATGTTACGATACAGTTCACCCCCGAGATTTGTTTCTTGGTCGATTCCCATACTTACGGCAGGTAGGCCTACCATTTTCTCATGAATGATTGCGTATGGTTAATTTGGGCAATACTCATCTTTCAGAAGACGGTCTCTCTGCATGCAGGCTAATCACGGTTGCCTATCAGCCCGGCCTATACAGTTTGCTGTGTCTCAGTATAGTTACTGGGGCATTATTATGAACGCAAGTCATCCCATGGAAATTTTGAACGAAAATAACATTTTCTGTTAATACTTTTTCCTTCAATTTCAGATCCAAAAAGTCAGAAAGAGGACAAGGATCTATACCGCCTTATACCCACTCTTCAAACAGGCCTCGATTCTCGGGAGATATGCACTCTTCACGCATACATAGCGCAAAAGGCAAGACTGTTTCTCTTCGCAAATATCACAATATGTAGATATGTATGATTTAGATTACTTCGTGAGTTGTCACCTGCTGATAGTCGACTCGGGCATATATTCTAATAAACGACAATTTTTTTGATAAGCAATCAGCATATTGCTTCGGCGCCATGCTTCATTACTTGCATAAAAATTTTAATTGCACCATTCTTGATAATTTGTATTCCACTAAATGAGCAGGTTTCGTACTACTTAAATTCAACCTTTTTTATGGCTGGCAAGTCAGTCAGGACGCCATTTCGACGACGACACTCTACGTTTGTTCCCGCGGAAAGGCATACTGTATGAATTATTTATTATTGAGATTTCATGGAAATCCATTATTTGCCATCCATTAACACAGGTAAAGGAGGCAGTGCACAAACAAGACTGGAAAAATGGCGCTACTGATAAGCAGAAGGCAATGGATGCCAAGAGGCAACAGATAGAACAAGCCGGAGATTTCAAGGAAAAACTGACCGAGAAAGAAAAGCAGGTGAGGAATGTTACCTTCCATGTTTCTTCTAGCAGCATATAACGAGAATGTCTTTGAGTAAATATCTAACTTCTGGTTTTGGGGAACTCCTATAGGCACAGGTGGATTTGGCTAAATGTCAGAGAACTACAGTGCAAAAAAACAACAACAAAGTTTGTGTGTGTGAGAGAGAAATTTTTCAGTAATTGATAAGAGCTGAGAGGTATGTTTAATAGCAATGGGACCAAAGATAAAACTTTGTTTTAGAAATTCAACTTATTGAATACCTTTAAGAATATTTTTAAAACAATTTTCATTGTGTTAGTTGTCAGAGATGCGAATGCAGCTAGAAACTCTCAAGCAAGAATGTAAAGGCAAAGACTCGCAAATAAGCAATCTTCAGGGCCTCATGCAAAAGGCTACATCCGAGCTCAAGGAAGAATACAAAAAGCAAGTTAAATTCTCTATTTCAACCAATTCCGATAACAAGCGACTACAAGAAAGGTTGAATATGTTTAATCAGGAAATCCGGCAAATGAATATTCAAGCACGAGAATGTCTACTTGAGGTTGCGGATGATGGTATTGCCACAAAAGAAACAATAAGAACCGATCCCGACAACATCAAAGTCAGTTGTCTTGAAAATAATATTGAGAGATTAATCGATAAAATACGTGAGCTCAAAGCAAAAATGGAAAATATAAGGGTATTCTATGAGGAAGATAGGAAAGGCACTCTAAAAACCTTAAACGTCCCTGATACTATACAGTCAGCTCATGATGCGGCAGATTTATTTGTACGGAGAGTAGAAAGTGAATCAAAAGCTCTAATGAAAGAGATATTCCAACTGAGTGACATGTTGTTTGTTGATGAAATAGGCATAGCTGGCGCATCACAAAGGAGTCTCAGAAACGAAACTGCCCCTCCCATGGAGAAAACGAAAGTGGAAATCGGCATCATTCGTGACCAGATTCAGCATTTGATGAATGTTATTTCATCACACACTCGGGAAATCCAGCAGCATGAAATAACTAAACATAATCTGGAAAGTCAAGTAAGACAACTGGGCGAGGCGAATACCGAACTGGAGCTTAAGTTAAAGGAACAAAATCAGACTGTAAAGACACTTAATCAAGAGATGGGAATTCTACACCGAGAGAATACAGAAGGTCCAGCACATAACTGTGATAAGGAGGCTGTCAAGCTGCCGCCTTTACAGAAAGTCGTCAAACGTCAGCCTGCTGTAAGACACACAAATGTACAGAATGTGAGCCTTTTTGATGAAGGAATCATACACGCAAGGAGGGGTGGATTTAGAGGATCAAAAAAGGGTTTTCACAAATCTACCTTTTAAAATGCTTAAATTGTTCTCCGATTTAAATATGTCTGACAGAAAAATCAAGCATAAGAAAAATGTATCATTTTTGTACAAATATTTTATATGTATAAAAATGTATTATCCTGAAGTTATTTTCATCACTTGCCTTTCTGTTTTCTCCTTAAATTACATGCATTCATTCACCATATAAAGTGACTTAAATTTATGACCTTTACTTAGATTGAAATAACATCCTGGATAGCAGAATTAAAAAGAATGTTATTTTCTGGGGTCTACCATCTTATATGTTTATTCCTAGTCATTTGCAGTTATCTCTTTGCATTTTGATCACATAATGGGTTAACACGAGAAGCAGGTGTTATCAACTGGTGCTTAGCACACTGCTGTGATTCACATTAAAATAGTCTGCCCACAGTTCATACAGACAGCATGAAAACCCTATAAATCAACAGGAACATCGACTTGCTCTTCTCTCTGCCCTTATGATGCTTTTGTAGAAGCAAAAAAGGAAATCATCAACTAGATTGACTAATTGTTGTACAATGTCTGATCTGCTTGCAAGTCATCCTACATCCATTTTGGCCTCTTAGGACATGCTAGATTCCAAGAAATATAAGGTGCATGTCATGTCTTTGGGTCTTTGGCGTCTGTAGTAACAGATGTCTTTATTTGATCCTGAGATGCTAAAAATCTCTTGAAAGACTCGTACTCCTTTCTTTCCTCTTCATCTGAAAAAAACAAGGGAAATATACTAAACTAAGCAAAACAATTTTTCACAAAAAAATGACAAAAATCTTAAATATCTTGTACCTAAGATGTTAAGTTTGTTAACTAACACTAAATAATAATTTTCACTCACTAAATGCCCCCCACCCTCATCCCCACCCCTAAACTGGGACCATACTGTTAGAAGTAGAGAGTAAAACAGAAATAAGGAGCTGAGTAATGAAAGGTGTTTTGTGGAAACACCTTTAGGAACACACAAAAATAGCAATTCAAATCTTTATTCAGTTCAGTCAGAATTTTTATGAGAGATATGGCCTTGAGAAAAAGGTCTTGGTGAATCACAGTTGAAGAAACCTACAAGAAATTTCTGACCCAAATTCCCCCCCCAGACAAATGGCCAAATATTTTTTTTTTCTGGTAGTGGTTGGGGGATGTAGGGGGTGAAGGGGTGCACAAAAACACCAGAATCAGCCTACCTTCTTCCTCCTCTGCCATGCCCTCGACATCACTGTCACTGTCACCACCAGGGGTCAGGAGCATCTCGTGACCAAGTGGACGACTTTTTACCTCCGAGTGAAGTGAAGAAACTGAAGAGCCAAATATAAAGATAGCCTCATGAATACTTCACATCATCATCATAAGTATAAATAATTGCTGGAAACTACCTCTGACATGTTCATCTGCAACTGGTAATTTTGTAACTGGTTTAACAATAGTTGTGTCTTCATCAATGGCAGAACTGATAGACTGTAAACCTCTGTTCTTCTGCTTTGATGGTAGAAAATAAGTAGTATGTGTCATGTAACCTGGTTAATAAGGCACTCTCAGTCAAACTCGCACACACTTAAGAACTTTCTTGATATATTTATCTTAAAGACTTTCTTTTAAAGAAATCACCAAAAAAAAGTGTGTTCGATGCACACAGAGAAAGGATGTGATACAATCATGATTTACAAATTCCCATTGAAAATATCTTCATACACCACAGAACAAAACTTTGTGGGTAAGTGTGCAACCAGTGTACAGTTTTGATGGCCAATGGTTGCTCTCATGTTTTTGAAGATAAAATTGGTTGAAAGCAAAACAAGTATTGTTGCTAGTTGATGTGTGTGTGTGTGTGTATGTGTATGTGTGTGTGTACCAAAAACCAAAATACAGAAATCATCTTAAAGGTTTTTGAACAATAGAACGCCCACCCATAGCAACATCTTCTCCAGCTCCAAGGTCTTTCTGTAACCGTGATAGTTGCTTTTCCTGTTCTACAAGTGTCTCTTCTTCTTTTTCCTTCCTTAATCTTTCATATGCTGGCTTGTATTCACTGGAAAAAAAGAACAAATTGATGCATTATCAAGTGAAAATGTCTCCAGTTTTTAAATCCCCAGATTTTTCATTCACGTATCTAAATCAGATATAAACAAAAAGTTCATGGTAACCTTTCTTGATTTTAAGTACATTAACCTGCATATGCACATATCATATTCTCTTCATCATCCTTTATGAACAAAATTCATTATTTAAATATAAGCAAACATTTCTTTTTACCTTTCATACTCAGCTGCTGCTTCTTCAATTGCTGCAAAGAACTCTTGAATTCCTGCACCAGTAACAGCAGAAACACCTACAGTCTGAAAAAGAAAAATATATTGTATTTTTTACCTCAACACAGTGCGTAAAAATAGAAGACGCGAAATAAAAATGGGGAAAATGCACAAGAACTTCAAGTCAACTGCAATGAAAGATGGAAGTCCAAGTTACCAATAACTATACAACCTATTCTTAATCTTGCATTTTTAAAATTATCAAATCAGGTGATAAAACACTTAACATTATCCTGCAATTGTAATGGCAGCATACCCTGAGATTGCTGTAAAATTCATCAAGTACTAAACTCATAGATCTTGTTAGGTTAGACACATAAGATGTCTCCTGGTTCAAAGCATCTTGAAATGCTTCAAAATCTGTCATCCACTCTACAGCAAATCTATGATCCACAATATCAGTCTGGAATGCAGCAAATGGGATACAAATGAACATCAACAAATTCATATTCTGAGTGGCATATAATCAGATGGAGATAAAAATCAATACTGTCATCTCAATTAGATACTGACTGCAACCACGGATGTAGGCAAGCTTTTAATGGGTCCTGTGCGCATTTTAATAACAGATTCACCTTAATGGAGTACATACATCTTGATTAAATGGCATCAAATGTATGAATGAACCCGCTTATAGATGACAATCAATAAAGCAGTGCTGAATCAACACAATTCACAGCAGTGCTAAAACAGAACACTTCAGAGACAGGATTGATGCCAGTAGGACTTGAAATGCAGTCTTTACATATTGCGAAAAGTGGGATGACATACGGTAATGCTCAATGTCAAAGAAGCAATTAGCTATCAAAATTTTGTGTGCCTCCATATATATCAGAAAAATTCACCATCGAAAAAGATATCAACATCACCATTTAGTTCTTAATTGAAATGTGTTTCCAAACACCGCACCTTGTTCATTGCTATCACAAATGGTAACTTGGTTTTGTAAAGAATACTACAGGCATACAGCATGTTGGACATAAAGGTGACTGGATTCACACTCCGGGCTGTGTCCATCACATACACAACAACTGTTGGAAAAGTAGATGCCTAGAAATGAGAGAGTTTTGTCCATTTTTAAAGATATGTTATCACTTTTACAGAACAAAAAAGCCAAAAGTTTTGTATATATGATAACTTTGGAATGATAAAGAATTCATTGAGAGTGAAAAAAAGACACAATGATAAGAAGTATAATAAGTTGCCAATATTTCATCAGAAATTGGTTGGTTGGGGTGGGTTTTACATATGGGCACCAGCTTTAAGTACTGAACCTGACTATACTGATCAATAACATTACTTTTACATATTATGTGCAAACGCAAATACATATGAATTCTTATTCAGTTACATATACATATACCAAATCAGAAATATCTTCACACTTGTTGTTACTTACCAGTGTCTCTGTGACTATACTACCAGAAGCTGACCAAGTGAAGACCTCTAACTGACCTGGGGTGTCCAACAAGACATACCTGGGAATCAAACAGTATTACTACTATAAAAATACCACTAGTAAAATAGAAATTTGCAAATGCCAGTTTTGGTGGTGCCTTATTGGCTTATCATAACAGGTCATAACATAAGTGTTTTTTTGGTTGTTCAAAAAGGATAAAAGTACATTATTACAGATGAAATCAAAACATAAACTATCTGACAGATTGTATTTCAGTAGTCAAACTTTTCCAGGTTTTTAACCTTACAGAATAAGGATGGCTTTTTGAGACTCACCTGCATTCTTTCCCTCTTTTTTCCACAAATTTCATCACCTACAAATATGCAGAAGACCTTGAACACTTGATAAATACATTCGTTTTTTTATTTCTCTCTTATTTTTCAAATTAAATTGGTTTTATGTTTACAACAACAACAACAACAAAAAAAGATTATTCTCAAAATATTCACATTGCATCAACTTTGAACTCCCAGTAAAAGAAATATTTTGGTGTTTACATTGTGCTTATAGAAGCATTAGTCCTTCAGATCAAAATTTCTTACCTCATGAAACTGTGTGGCAAACAGATTCAGCGAAGTCACTATTCCTCCATTAGGTCCAAGTTTATATCTGTATGAGTTAAGGAGTTAAACTTCTCAAAATATTGCTTTATCAAATGAAAAATAAATCTAAGCATCTTATAAGTAGGGCTGTAATATAATAATGCAAATCATTAAAAGTATGAAACACAAGACGCTGATAAACTGACTCTTTGTTTATCATATTTTATCCAATAAAGACTTACTGTTAAAATGACTTAGAGTGACAAATGAACAGCTACAAAAAGACCTTAAGTAAACACGAACTATGGTATTACTCAGAAACTTAAGAATGACAACAAAACAAAAATTACTTCAGGAATAATTTAAAAAGTAAATTCCCAAAGTATGCATATTGAACGCACAGTTGTATATTCCAATTCTATACTTCAGCATACATACATGCCAAGATGTGTGTGAAGAAGTTAATTATATAGTATTTCAAAATCATTCTGAAACATAGTCATACTATTAGAAAACTAGAGGATCAGAGAGGCGATACCGCCTCCGAATATTGTACCACCAGCTGGAGCAAGCGCATTCGTATAGACCCCCACATACACAAAATAAGGGGTGCAGCCACCAGTCTTGTGCTTGACAAGCTGTAAAAATGCAATCAACAAGAATTTTCAAAATATGCAAAAAATATATATAACTAAAAATGGTGCAATCAAAGTTAAGTTCATTGTAAGGTAGGTCAAAGGTCAATTTCAAGGTCACAGTAAATTGCCAGTATATGACTTCCTATCCAACTTCAATAGTAACTATGGACCTATCTCTGCCAGTTTTGGAGATAAAAGGGAAGCAAAATTTGCAAAGTTCAGTTCATGGTGAAAAGTAGGTCAAAGGTCAATTTCAAGGTCACA